TCCTAGTTCCTATGATATAATACATTAAATAAATGTGACCTTACGCAGATAGTTAGCAGAAAATCAATAGATAAATTAACCAATTAAAAACGATGAGGTAATGAGCTTGTTAGCTACTGTGCCTTACAGTATTGGCACTGCAAGTCTGATGATGCTGACCCTGCATAGCAACCTCACTTTTAGTTTAAGGGTAATTAAGGTGTCCAGTCAGGTCGCAATCCAGTGCAAATCATTTTAGAACTTGCATTAAGGCCTACAGCAAAACCTGCCGTCACCCAACATCAACCTATCCAATACAAATAATCTGTGAGTCTAGTCAATTCTTCTTGCGTTTTAACCTGGCTTGGTTCTTCATCTGAAGTTTGAGCAATCACAGTAAGGCTTGCAAAACATGTGAGTCTCTTTCTCAACCCTTGCAAATCAAGTGTGTACAATGTGTTGCAATATATCCTTTCACGCAATAAACCACGGCAACTTCTGCTTTTTGCATAAGCTTAACGGCACCGACATATTTTCAATGTGAATGCATGCAATTGAATGTAGGCAAATAGGCACAGGATAATAGGGTTTTTAGGGTATTGGTTTTCCTGTAGGTGCGAGCTGTGGTCAGGGAAAGCAGCAGGTGCCTCAGGTTTCCCAACTCACCTCTGAGCCAGCGTAACAGGAAGTGATCATGCTGTGCAGGAAGTTGAGGTAGAATATCTTGTATCCTCTCTCGAAACTGAGGCCAAAGGATGGAGAGAAGAAGAGCAAATGATGGACACAATTTACTAAAAAGGAAAATCACAGAGGTTTCAGGACTAGGAAAACACGTTCAAGGAAATGTTTAACGCTATACTTACAGTCGATGACACTGAAAGAAAAAGAATACAGTACTTTTTTTTTCTTCAGATGAGTATTTATTTCCTAAGGCTGCTAAAATATGTGACTGTGACAAATCATTTTACACACTTTGAGAGCAAGGTTGAGAAATGTCCCCCAAGGGATGCCATTTCAGCTTTGACACATGTACATTCCCTGTTTGCTTCCAGGGAGCCTGAAATACTTATGTATATACTAATGGCTTAAAGGGCCCTATTATGCTCATTGTCAGGGTTCATATCAGTATGTAGTGTCTCTACTGGGACATGTCTCCATGCTTTAATGTTATTGTTCTCATCCTGCCTGTGCTGCAGCACCTCTTTTCACCCTCTGTCTGAAACCAGAGCCCAGTCTGCTCTGATTGGATAGCTGGCCAGCTCTGTTGTGATTGGTCAACCACTTGGAGATGTCCCGCCCCATATGGGAAATGTGTTGGAGCGCTAGCCAATAGATGAGTGTTATGTAGTGATGTCAATATGTTCTGGAAGTAAAAATAGACAGAGGCATTTCATATTTACATTCACTGTTTTGTTTGTTTACTATAATAGCAGAAAAGGAAACCAGCAAATATTAAAACGTAGGAAGCTGCAAGCAGTTTCATTTATTTCTGAAAAAAATACTACCAAAGCCATGGGCATTGCCGTGCAGCTATAACAGCCTTATCTCTTCTGGTTGTAGACTTCACACTAGATGTGGAACCTGGCTGCAGGTTGAGACAAAGAGCATTAGTGAGTTGTTTTGAGGCAACTGAGTCTCAGTCAATATTTGAATTCATCCTATAAGTGCTGGATAGGTCAGGACAAGTTCAATTCATTCAGGTGCACGGGGGCATTGTCAGGCTGAAACAGGAAGGGGCTTAAAAAACCGGTAGCCACGTAGTTTTTGATATATAGTGAAATTCCTCTTATGTAAACGTACAGCTTACAGACTTATAAAAAGGTTTCTATATTGTAATGCAGTAGCGGGAAAAATAAATAAAATCATTGATTGAAAACTGAGATGATGCTTAAATAATGTGTCTAACCAAAAATAGTTTGCTGCATTAGTTTTGATTGATAGTTAATTGTAGCACGTTGATGGATAATAATAAAGTACGTTGTAAAAAATGTATTGATTCATGCTTTCTCAATAGTATGTAGCAATATTTTTGATAATCGTTTAAATTTCAACTTAAAAAGCCAAATGCCAATATATGAATGGTTCAAATCACTTAAGGAATTGCTATACATAGTAATGACTGTGGTTTTGTTTGGAGATAAAGAAGACTGAAGACTTCAAATTGAATTTTCAGAACATTTGTGAATAAAAATGATTTGCCCCTCTCACTTGGAAAAGGCTTTATTATTATATTATTATACTACTACTTTATGCGAAATCTGTAACATTTAATCAATTACTCAATTCACTAAGACAACAATTCGATTCTTGTATTACTAATTCATAATTTCAAGTGGAATTGTCAACAATATTCTGGTTCCAGATGATCAAATGTAAAAAAAAAAATGTTTTGTTCAAATATATAATAGAAAATACATATATTGGGGGTTCAGACCTGGTGGGAGGAAACAGATTTGATCATTTGGGGCATTTTAATGGGAACTACTTTCTGACCTGCTATAGTCAAAATGCTGAATCACATAATCGAGAAAATAAATGTTAGTTGCAGTCTTTAGACAGCTAACTTGTTCTTAATAATGGCTTATAAATTAATTATGGCTAAAACGCAAAAGATTCAATACCCTAAGCATGAAGAATGTAGGAAAGCGAACGAACCCTTTAAAAGACAATCGTTTATTATTACACACGTGCTTAACCAGAGAGATTATATAACATTCATAATGGGATTCCTAGAAAGCGTATTCAAGTAAGGAGATAGGTTACTACAGTACAAAGCACAATTAATATTAATAAACGTACCTGCTCCAGTGCTTCCGCCTGTTTAGGACTCAGGTCTTCGACTCTGCCGCTCATGTTTGCCAGCAGAAAATTCAACACGGATACTGACGGAGCTCCAAGTCAGATAAACAGATGGAGCGAGAGATAAACAGCGCAGTCACCGTTAACGGGCAGGCGGATCTCTGTCAGACATACGCCTCCCAGATGATGTCCAGTCGCTGCCTAGCTACAGTGTCCTCTTCTCTTCGCTGTCAGCAGGTGAGAAAGACGGCCGACGGAGGAAAAAATTGTAAACACCACGCAACGCCGGTCAGAAATGCAGTCCAACCGGCTGACTCTGTCAAAGATAGGGAGTATAGACGGGAGCGCTACTCGAGTAAGAAAGGAGGGACCAGAAGAGAGGAGTGGCCACGCCCACTGTCCAAACTAACGCTTCCAAACTATCTGAAAAAAGAACAACTGAATCTATGGTTGTAATGGTTGTCAAATTAGAGAACGGGTTATTTTTAACAAAGATTTGTTTTAATTGTTTTTAGTGGGGATAAGCCAAATATCCACATTGTAGTAAAGAGCTGACAGATAGTTGATATATTGTTTACTTTTTCCTATATGCAATGTTATAGATCACGCATTGCCAGTGTGTTGTTTGTGTCTAGATGTAATTGTAATTCCGATTATTCTTCTTTTTCTTTTAATAAACCTACCCCTAACCCTTAATAACAAAATGCAACTGTGAACCATGTTCAAGCTCAACTCTCTGACTACATTTTGCACATGTTTGCACACATGTCTGTACAGCCCTCCACTTTAAAATATAGTCACTGTAGTTTGCCCTATTGTCATATATTCATTGTCCTAGGTGATTTGGTTTAGTTTGTATATCTGTCTGTTATAAATACTTGTCTTTATTATTCTTTTGTAATGCTAAATAGTTTATAAAAAATACTTATTTTTATTATCTTTATATGTTTTACCTATGCACCTTATTTTATTAGATTGTTTATGTTCAGACACCAAAGCAAATTCCTTGTAGGCCTATGTATAAACCTACCTGGCAATAAAGTCAATTCTGAAGAAAAGATAACATAAACATGATTTGACCAATATGCAGTTAAATGCATAACATTACCAAACATAATTTGAACAATAATGCATGACTGATACAATGTATATTAAACTCTGTACTGAATAGATACAATTAAATGTATGTCCTCTATTGGAAGACGGGATGTCTAAAACACTTAGCCTATAACAAGGGATTTGTAGCTACTGTATACAAACTGTAAAGTTACTGCTAATGTTGACATGAAACTTCCTGTTTTTTACGTTTTAAACTGACGAACATGCAAGAGGTTTTTTATTGTGAAACCCTACAGACATGCTAAACCAGTGTGCGAAATACGGGGGGGTCCGGGGGAGCTCCCCCCCCCCCCCCCCCCCCCGATTAACAGGGTTTACCAGCTAAACCCTGTCACAGAGTACAAACCAAGTAACACCGAGACACTAGCCACTTGTATTTAAGCTCAACCACTTATAGGCTACTTAACAATATTAACAGGTAATAAATAATATTACCGTATGGTATAGGCCTACATCGAGTAGCCTACCTGCAATTGTTTTAGTGTGACAGGAGAGCCGAGTCGCTGAAACACTGTGCATTAAACCAGATGTAATTAGCATAGCGATCACATGGCGAGCACCTCGGCACACATCATATTTGTTTTAATATTGGGTCGTCATTATATTGTGTGTTGGTGCAAAGTGAAACAAGTATGAGCTTGGTTGTCTTCAGTTTAAATTTCAGAGCTCACTTACTCAAAATATTGAACCAACATTAAACACTAAGGAATACCAGAGGTCCTATATTTATACAGTCTATGCGTCAAACACAGCTCTTACATTTTAATAAACACCGCACCAGTTTTAGCGTGGCTGGACCGCGGCTTTAAATCAAAGAGGGAAGTATGGGACGGAACGCTCTCTCTTTGCTACGTTCTTCTCTGATAGCAGAAAAGGTAAAAAGAAAACTCAAAACTGTAACTGTAAATCAACGGGATAACCGCTTAATATATTTTAATTCAACTTAATGTGTTGGATATTAAGCGTATTAATTTAAGTATATGATTTAATTCGTGGTAATGCGTCACAACCATAGACTGTATATAAAGGTCACAACTATGATCTCTTCCGATGTGTATACAAGATGATAATCCTCCGGCTTCTTCCAGTCAGGTCCGGAAGTTGCCTGTCGTTGTTTACATTCTCTGAGTGGTCCAGCTAGCTAATTGGCGAACAGGAATGACGGCAGCTTCTATGAAATGACGGGTGACATTTGATTAGGTTTTAATATTTATACACATTTTTCGTATTCTCTCGGTGTTGTTGTTGTTGTTGTTGTTGTTCGGGTCATGGCAATAGCTCGGTGCTGGTACTGTCTTTGGGTAATGTTACCGCTCGTCCTGCTGCGGTGGCCGGGGCTGCTGGTCGCCGCGGAGCAGGTCGCTCTGGTGGAGGTTTTCCTGGAGCAGCGGCCCGGCGTCAGCGCTGTGCTCCAGGGGGAGGTGATGGAGTCCAGCAGGGAGAGCAGCAGGAGCTCCGAGACCCAGGACGAGGACCAGGAGGAGCTGGAGGGAGAGCTGGTCCTGGTGAGTCGGAGGGCAGTAAATCATGGTAAACATTGCACGTCTGTTCTGAACTGTTGCATTCGCAGTGGCGTTTCTGTACAAAAGTGGTGGGGCACAACAAACTTAGATGTCTATACGCTTCTGCAGTGACGTGCAGTGAGGTTCATGGCTGGTGAGGCACTGGCACTGACTCTTCAGGTTTACAAATATTATATTTTGACCTAAATCAAAATATAATATTATTTTCAAAAGCCTCTTTAGTCTGATGCTTCGATTAATTTTAAACAGACAGTTCAACAGAAGGATACCCAAAAAATGTAATTGTATCATTTAAATATTGAATTGTTCTCTCTTAGTAAGATCCCATTTTCAATAAAATTGCGGTTTTACCTTGACTTGAAGATGAAGTCCATTTGCCTATCCTTCTGGACAAAAATCTCTATTACTTTTTTGTAAAAGTCCTCCTTATCTTCTTGTAGTTTCAAAAGTCTATCATAAATCTAAACGATGGATTTATGATTAGAACATTATAAAAGTAGGGTAGACATGTGGATATTATCTGGCTGAACAAAACGTACATTACAACAGCTACGTTTCCCACAGATCTTATTTTGAGCTATTTTCTAAAATCCTATGGAGAAATCTCATTGCTTTTTTGTGGAGGGAAGCCATGCGCAGCTTACTTCCTGGTTTTAGGACGCGTCTCTCTCCTCCTCTTCACACACCACACTTTTCGCGGCACACGTACTTACAGCCAATCAGCTCTGAATGATGTGAGATGACGTATGGTGGGGATGGCAGCTCTATGCCTCTATGGTCATTATTTTTTGCCACACACATGAAATAGGAAAATACTCTGAGCATGCGCAGTGTAGTTTTTACGGTCACCGTTCACTTAGACAGTGAGAGGGAGGGGCAGGATCGGGTTTTGTCCCACATGGCTCCAAACAGCTCAATAGGCACACACTGTAGACACTAATTAGAAGAGCACAGACTAAAACAGCAATGTACAGACAAATCAGATGATTAAACATGATCTTAAAATATATTTTATATATATTTTAATTTATTTTTTGCATTTTGTTGTAATCATTATTTTAATACTTTCTGCTGACACTAGGTGGGGCTGTGCTACCTAATGACCAGTCGCCACTGTGCATTCGGGTGGAAACCTGGAGATGTGTAAATCACCAAAAGAGCACCATTGATGGCACTTATCATTAGTTTAAAACCTGTGTATAACCCTAATCTTAACATTTCCATTCATTCTGAACATCTGTCTGTCATGATTAACTCCTATGAAATAAAATGGAACGTGAGATGTATCAGCGCATTAACAAAACAAAGCAGTGATTATTCAGTATAATATTTAATATTATGCCATCACTTCTAAATTGTCTCACACGATTGTCAGCAACATCCATATTTTAATAGTAAATTGAGTGAATGTAGGTGGTATTGTTTAAAATGATGGTCACAACAAACAAAAGTAAACAAGTTTCCTCCTTGAACTGCCACTGCAGGAGCTCCTTTGTGAAACCGCTTCCAGTAAAGAGGTCAAGCCTTCTTTCTGTCCTAAGGTTCAGAATGAGGAGACACAGGTCAACGGAGGAAAAGGTGAGGACGACACCAAAGAGCAGGAGCTGTGGATCGGGGTGGTGCCTGTGGAGATGGACGAAATCAAAGCTTCCACTGGGAACCAAGAGTCCTTCGCTGATGCAATGGTCAACAGAGTAAGACGTTTCAATGTGTTCTTAGTCTGTTGGGGTATTTTTCACATTGGTACTGATATATATGACAAAATGAACATGTACCATTTCCGTTAAAGATGAAGCGAGCTTTGGTCCTCGGAGCGTCTGCCCTGATCATTCTCGCTCTCAACCAAAACACAGTCAGTGAGGTAAATCTCCACAAACTCAACCAGCTGTTAAGTGTTCTTAATGTGTTCCATTATAAAGTTCTAAAACCCTGTCATTGACATACTTTGGAGACTATTACTGTCATTATTTTGTGTGTAATGTGTATCCATTAGTGTTCCAGCAATCTTCTTTGGAAGTTGCACATCAGAAAAAAACTGAATTGCAGGCGCCACATCAAACATATATGATGGATTAAACCGTTTCATATGAAAGTTCCCTAACATCTGCCTTGTCTGTTTCAGATGGATCTGTCCCAGGTGCTGTCCAAGCCTATCATTGTGATCCAGACGTCGGAAAATGTCACAAAGCTGATCGGAGCTCTGCTCAGGTACAGAAAAACATACTATGTATTTATTACATCATCTGCTCACATAGAAATAGACATGTTCACATGGACCTTTAAAGCAATTGTGCATATGTGCAACAAAATACCCTATATTCTGAAGGAATCAGGTCATTGTGACAAGTGCTTTGTCATTCATGTAAGTTACACTATCTGATGAAGTACTTTCATTAAATCAGTTTAAAGGGACCCAATTATTTATTTATAAGTTTATTAATCTCTCTCTCTCTCTCTCTCTCTCTCTCTCTCTCTCTCTCTCTCTAGGGGTCTTCAAGCTACAGCAAAGATCACATACAAGACGATCCTGCAGGACAACCTGGTGAGCCCCCCACTCTAGTGTCAGCTGACTGTGTTTCTCAGTGTTTAGCACCCTCCAGTGGTGAGTGAGCAGATGACAGGCTGAGCGTCTGCTGTGTGTTGGGGCAGGGGGCCACGCTCACGCTGTGGTCCAGCTGCGGTCGGTCCAGAGGGGGTCCCTACGGAGAGTGGCAGGGGGTCATCTGCACGGGGGAGACCAACTCTCAGGTCCAGGTGGGGGAGCTGCACCAACACAGGCTGGTTCACTTGTTTAAACTCCTGTTGGAGATATGTAACACATAAAGGTCTGTTTAAAGGGCTTGTGTGTGTGTGTGTGGTGTGTGTGTGGTGTGTGTGGTGTGTGTGTGTGTGTGTGTGTGTGTGTGTGTGTGTGTGTGTGTGTGTGTGTGTGTGTGTGTGTGTGTGTGTGTGTGTGTGTGTGTGTGTGTGTGTGTGTGTGTGTGTGTGTGTGTGTGTGTGTGTGTGTGTGTGTGTGTGTGTGTGTGTGTGTGTGTGTGTGTGTGTGTGTGTGTGTGTGTGTGTGTGTGTGTGTGTGTGTGTGTGTGTGTGTGTGTGTGTGTGTGTGTGTGTGTGTGTGTGTGTGTGTGTGTGTGTGTGTGTGTGTCAGCAGCATGTTAACCAGGCATTGCATTGTTCAAAAGATCCACGGTAGATATATATATATACCAAATATAAACATAGGATTGTATGGACCCAGTAGTAGAGGTGAAAGGCTGACCTCCCTTTCTTTGAAGCAGATGGCTCCGTATTGCACTTTGCACCTTGTTAATCAATTTTTTCATTCATATCATTTCTCAGTGTTGTCAACATTAATACGTGCAGGCAGCGTCATAATCCAATATGTTATTGCATCAGCTTTTATTTATTTTTCAATTGACTTTTGGACTCCTTACACAGCCACCAAGGGAATCTAATTCCACAAATAGTATCAAATCCATTTCTCTGCTCTCCTATATATCCGGAGGGCATTTCTGAGTATGGATGTGCTACAGACTGCTGAATGAATGAAGTGTCAGTGATCCGGATGCTGAAGAGCTGCTCTCCCCCCCCCCCCCCCTGTAGAAGTACCTGCAGCAGCTGTGGGACACGGTGCTCCTGGTGGCTCTGATCATCAGCACCGGGGTCATCGTTCAGGCCCGCTGGCAGCACCAGGACCAGCAGCTCCACGACGACCTGGAGGTACTGAGGATATCAGTCCAGCTCATTCTTCAGCAGTCTCTACAATAATATTCTTCTTGAAACACTCACAACATGATCAGCTGTATATCCCACTACTCACATCGTGTGAGCTTGAATTCCATTTAACAGACCCTCACACAACTCCAGTCGTATGCTCACTAAATCCCAATTACATGCATTTTTGCTCAAGCTTTAATAATCTATCACGCAGTTCTTCTATAAAACGTGTGATGTTCTGCTGCGTTGCGTCCTTCAGCTCTTTCCTAAACAGGACGTCCTGAAGAGGATGTCGTCCCTGAAGACCAAAACGTACCTCCAGCCCAAACCGTGGTGTGACCCCTCCCAGTCGGGGGAGGCGGACAACTGTGCGGTGTGTCTGGAGCCATTCAACAACAACCAGGTGAGACAACAGGTGGGGGAGGGGTGATGTTCAAGGACTCAGGAAGAGTTTCTGAGGGATACATATGTTCAGATGGTTCTGCAGTGGTGTGTTACAGCTGTGTCTCTTGTGTGTGTCTCCTGTGTGTGTCTCCTGTGTGTGTCGTGTGTGTGTCTCCTGACTGTGTCTCCTGTGTGTGTCCTGTGTGTGTGTCTCCTGTGTGTGTCCTGTGTGTGTCTCCTGACTGTGTCTCTCCTGTGTGTGTCTCATGTGTGTGTCTCTCCTGTGTGTGTGTCCTGTGTGTGTCTCCTGACTGTGTGTCTCCTGTGTGTGTCTCCTGACTGTGTCTCCTGTGTGTGTCTCTTGTGTGTGTCTCCTGACTGTGTGTCTCCTGTGTGTGTCTCCTGACTGTGTGTCTCCTGTGTGTGTCTCCTGACTGTGTCTCCTGTGTGTGTCTCTTGTGTGTGTCTCCTGACTGTGTGTCTCCTGTGTGTGTCTCCTGACTGTGTCTCCTGTGTGTGTCTCTTGTGTGTGTCTCCTGACTGTGTGTCTCTTGTGTGTGTCTCCTGTATGTGTCTCCTGACTGTGTGTCTCCTGTGTGTGTCTCCTGTATGTGTCTCCTGACTGTGTGTCTCTTGTGTGTGTCTCCTGTGTGTGTCTCTCCTGTGTGTGTGTCTCCTGACTGTGTGTCTCCTGTATGTGTCTCCTGACTGTGTGTCTCCTGTGTGTGTCTCCTGTATGTGTCTCTCCTGTGTGTGTGTCTCCTGACTGTGTGTCTCCTGTGTGTGTGTCTCCTGACTGTGTCTCCTGTGTGTGTCTCAGTGCCTGCGGGTGCTGCCCTGTCTGCACGAGTACCACAGAGAGTGTGTGGACCCCTGGCTGCTGCTGCACCACACCTGTCCTCTGTGCAAACGCAGCATCCTCGGTGAGTGACTCCACACTGTCTGATGTTTCAGGGCGCAGGTTTTGAACTCCTACACTCAGAAGAGAACTGCGATGTCACTGAATAGTTAGTAGCAAGTGCACATGCTAACTATTACCACTTTTTAAGACATTCTATTCTATGGCAGTTTCATTAAAGCATTTTACTACAAACTATACAAATAACTTTGAACTTACTATACTATGGCCTTTATGGACTTTTTGTAGAATACTACTTTTTTGTGACATGCTATACAATGACTTTATGATATTGTTTTGGCATTCATTACATTTACATTTTTATTACATTTTTTATGGCATATATATTATAGTTTTATTTTTTTAAAGGGCTGTGGGAGTTTTTAAACCTTTTTTTTAATCTGATCATTTGTATTCTAATGTGTACAATGGCTTTTTCTGATATTTGAACCAAACCGTGATGTTGTTATTATATTCCAACATCATATACTAAGATTGTATTTTCTATGTACTTTACTTAGATTGTTCTGATATATTATACATGCATTTTGTTCCTGTTATTTTCAACATACTGGGAGGTTTTTACTAATATTCTGCCATTCCATTCTTATACCTACATGTTGGACAACATGTTTTACTATGTGATTTTTTGGGATATTTCCATCTTCATCCCACATACTATACTTTTGGTCTGGGATTGAGTGTTTTTGACATACTATAATAAAACCTGATGTATTGTTTCAACGCCTTTCCTCATTGAACCTCTTCAGGCAGCGTCCGCAGAGACAGTTAACGCCGCCTCTCTTCCAGCTCTGGGAACAAGGTCTCTTCCTCAGTGACACTCAAGTAGCCGTTTTTTTATCTCCAAACCTCGCCGCTTCCTCCTTCAAGCAATGGATTGAGGGACTAATAAAGACTAAACAGCAGTTTGCTGGCGTCTGGACTGTGGAGGGGTCAGATGTTGATATCTGTCCTTAGCGTGGGTGCAGTCAGGAAGAGAAACAGACGAACAGTAGTAGTGTTAATACAATAATATGAAGTACTGTTGTGTGTAAACAGTACTACTTCCTGGGATCATGTTACTGTATATTTGTGGACATATCAGTTTGTATGTGTGATGTAAAGCAGGGCAGATATGACTAATGTGCTCTCGTGGTCAGTGACACACAAACCACTTCTGCTCTGTTCCTGCAAACAGCAACGAGGCATCCGCTGATCTACACCGGAGCGATTACTGTCGAGTAAATGCTTCATGTTTGAAGCAGGGACGAATCGATTAACTGTGTTAATGTTCACTTTAGGTCCAAATGATGTCAACAACCACCATATTAAATAAGAGTACACTAGTGTCCACACTTTGCTTCTAAATGCGGAGGTTCTATAGTTTGAACAGATGTGGAAGAATGGGTCCTTACCATGCCTTGTGACTGAACTGCAGCAGTGACAGAGACCTCAAACGCATCTCCTTAATGATTAAAAAGGTTAATATTTTGTAGAGAATCAAAGCTAAGTTGGATTGTTTCCTCATTTTTAATGTTGTTTATCAATTTTTTCCTTATCAGACGCTTAGTGTTAAGAAGTCTTAACAGTTTTGTTCTGAGGGTCAAACAGATTTCACTGTTTCATCTCATTCATCATGAAAGAGGTCAACGACACACATACTGTCATGTATTTTAATGTTTAACACACCCAGCTACATTTGACTTTGATTAAGTCGTCAACACATTGTACTGAGAAACAAAGGTAATGACTCCAACTCGATGGATATCGAACACGTAGTCTTATATTTATTTATAGTTCTTGGTTTTTCCAATTGACATGTGGTATGTTTCCCTTTTTCACAAAATGCCTGTACGGCACGTGCTTCCACAACATCAGGAGGATTTTCTTTCATTATATTATTTTGAAGGCTGGACAACAATGGTGTGAACTGGGTAGATGTCACGTTAGAGCACTTGAATGTTACATGCATGCAGGTTTTTCACAAGCTCCTCCCACAGGATGAGAGTAAGAGCAGCACTGGTGTTCAGCAGGTCAGTAACTGTTCCTCCAGCTACAGAAGAGTCTCTCCTTAACCCTGGACGCTTCCTCCTTTTATTCCTGTTCTGCTTATCTGATGTCAAAGGAATTCAAATCGTTCACTCTGGATCTTAATAATAAATGATTTGTTACTTGGCAAAAATAAACGTCTTTGTCCTCAGTGTCTGGCTTTTATTCTGGCTCTGTGGGCCGGGATACAAATAATTGTAGGTATACTGTACAATGCTGTTTATTACATTAGAAGTATTTTTCTGACATCATTTACTTTGGTCTTTTCTGTCACTAGGTTCTCTAGTTGGGGCAGATATGGAAAAAGGGTTTTCCACTTGTCCAATGCAATGAAAACATTTGGCCACAGCAAATCATTTATATTAAACATGTCATTTTTACTTTTGAATACTTCAGTACAAAGGATGTATTGAATACTTTAAGTGATATATGTGTACACATACAAATCATTAGTCAAAACAGGGCTACATTTGATTTAATTATAAAAGGTATATCTGGAAAAATGAAGAGCCGTTTGGGAGCCGAAAGAGCCGGCTCTTCTTGGTGAGCCGAGCCAAATGATCCGGCTCACTAACAAGAGCCGGAATTCCCATCACTAGCATCCATACTCTGGTGAAGTCAAAAAACGCTTTGTAGTGTGAAATAAAAAGGAGTTAATGATGACTCGAATGATGTCAAACAGGGTTTTATTGTATTTATTTTACGTTTGTTTTAGATTTTCAATGTCAACTTCAAAAAGCATTTACATGAGATCTTTGTTTCAAAATGCTCTGATAGATCTGTTCTCTTTATAGAAAATATTCTCTGCATCATGGTCACATGTCGGAGGTTCCCTCTGTACGGCACGTGCTTCCAAAACATCAGGGTTTTCTCTCGCTATATTTCTTTGAAGTCTGGACAACAGTGGTGTGAACTGGGTAGATGTTATTACGTGCGTGCAGCCAGCTCCTCCCACAGGATGAGTAAGAGCAGCAATGATGTCCAGACTTCAGCAGGTCAGTAACTGTTCCTCCAGCTACAGAGGAGAGTCTCTCCTTAACCCTGGACGCTTCCTCCTTTTATTCCTGTTCTGCTTATCTGATGATGTCAAAGGAACTTCAACCTTTCACTCTGTATCTTAATAATAAATGATTTGTTACTTGGCAAAAATATGTCTTATTTTTTGCCCACAGTCTCTGGCTGACACTCAGGACTTTGGCTTTTAGTGAGCTATAAAAAGAAAATCAGTTGGGCCGAAGAGCTGAAAGTCCTTTGGGCTCCAACACTAAAAGCATCAGCATCAGACAGCATCACAACGCCCTGCCGAAGGAAGTCCGTAAACTACTACAACTTTCCAACAACTCAAAACCTTTGGCGGCTTTTCCTTTGAGCTAAGACAGCGTCTTTGGGGCTGAGGTGTGATGGAGGGGACAACTAAAGGCTCCAAATTTAACACAGAACAACCCCCCCGCCCCCAGTTTTTCCTCCCCTTCACTGACTCACACCTCCGCCACCTTCCGTCTTCCATTCTTGTGTTTTGGTCTCTCTCGCAGCGGGCCGTGCTGCCACTCAGGAGGGGATCATGCCTTTGTTCCTCTTGCGGTCGGCCATGTTGCGGCGGTTGTGGTTGGCCCCGCGGCCCTTGCTGGCCTCCTTCTTGCGTCGGTCCACAACCGTCTCCTGCTTTTGTCCTTGGCCTTTGGGTTGGCCCACCACGTTGTTGGGACGCGGCTCCGGCCGGAAACTGGAAGGGAGGGATGGAGGGAAGTGAACAGAGTGTGGAGGGAAGCAGTAGTGGAAGAGCTACAGGACTTTTATTTAATACAGCGAGAGCAAGGTCAAAACTAAATGTTCTCGAAATTAAGTACTGTTTTTTATTGTGATTTGCTATTTTTTGTATTTCCATTCAGATCATATCCTTTGATATGAAGTGTATTTAGTATTATTATTATTCATTAGAGGGCTCTTCAATCCTCTAACCTCAATTCCGTATTCATTAAGAGAAGATAAACCTTACTGAAAGGATGAGGACAAGTCTAGAGAAGCATTATGTATCATGAAGAATGTTCTTGGATGGATTTCCAGCTGGAGAGTCTTACCCTTTCCTCTGATGCATGTCAGCTCTTCGAGCCTCTGCCCGCTCTCTCAGCAGAGCCGGGTCCTGCACAAACTGGTCCCTGTTTACGTTGTTCTGAAATGAAAATAGATTCACATGTCAACACGGGATTGGAAAAGGCACAAAGGAAACCAAAAACTGTAATTAGCGGCTCCAGGTTGTATGCCTTGCCCAGCAGAGGGTAGTTTATTATTTATGGTATGTTTGAAATACATTCCTGCGCTTTGCATATGGTCTTAATTTTAAGCAACATGCAAAAATACTGTAACGATAAAACGTGAAGAAAACATTTTAATCTTATCACTAAGCTTTAGGTCTAAAATAAGTTTTCTGTAATGTTGGATCTGCCATCATGGAATTATTTCAGTAGGTACCTGTAGTGGTTCTTCCTCCTCTTCCTCCTCCTCCTCAAATTCTGGTTTGTTTCCTTTTCTGAGGATTTGTGGGACAGTGAAAGGCCTGCAAGGAAATACAAAGTTCAAATGAAAAGCATTTGATTAGAATCATCATATTCCTCATTTAGACAGCATTCCATTAGATATGGCTGTAACAGTCCGTGTCAGATGATAGAATACACTGTATGATGCGGAACCAAAGTCCACCCCCCCTCCTAGCCGCACCCGGTTAGCAACATATGCTAATGACCACTCAGTTCTTTCATTTGGTTTTTACTACATTAGACTCCTTTGTTTACTTCTGTAACATAACTATGTAACACCAGCACTCTAGCACATTGTTCATGATAGTCTAATGCAGTGCTTCTCAAACTTTTTTCAGTAATGTACCCCTTTGAAACATTTTCTCAGCCAAGTACCCCCTGACCGATCCCGAACATTTGTGATCGAAAAAGCCTATATAAATAATTACAATATAGTGATGTTCCCTCAGTGTGTGATGTATTAACTCCTTCGTGGTATGCATTACAACAAACTAAGGATATTTTCATTTTATGCATGAAAAAAAATAACATAACACTTTTATAAAACAGATTTCTCCAAGGAGTTTTTCAATTTAAGTAATATGTTATTGTGAAAAACTATAAAATACAATACACACATTTGACATGTTTATATGAGGACCCCCTTGGTGGTTCTAGGAATGTTTTATATAAAATTGTGTTTTCTATTTAACTTATTTTACTAAGATTATTTTTTTTAATTAACCTTTTTTTTAATTTTTTTTATATATATCACGTACCCCCTGCAGTACCCCAACGTACCACCAGGGGTCCGCGTACCCCCATTTGAGAATCACTGGTCTAATGGGTGGGATTTCTAAGCAGTTTTGAACAATCACAACAGAGCCGGCCAGCTAACCAATCAGAGCAGACTCTGGTTTCCGACAGAGTGTGAGCCTAATGCTACGTTCACACCGGACGCGATGCGAATATTCGCATCGCTCTAAACGCTCGAGTTTCACCGCGGCTGCCAGCTGTGTTTACTCGCGTCATTCAAACAAGACGCGCTGACTCGGGAGCTAACTACAACAAAATGAACATATTTTACCGTGATTAAATTGTAATACACGTTTCAAAATGATGGCGAAGTAACAACATACTGATACCGGTTATTAAAAACCATGAATTAATGCTTTGACAAGTCTGTAGACAAGACGGCAGGCGAAAAACCTTTTAGAATGCGTGTTTTCTGAATGAAGATCGGGTCGACCAGGCTAAGCTAACGTTGTATATACTCCGTCCACACTCACAACAACGGCCTACAGACATAAATAAACCAGCGACTGTATTCGCCATGACACAGACAGTCTGTGGTTTGTACTTGTTTAACTTTTGTCCAGTTTCTGAACAGATATGAGGAGCTGTGAGCTCTGAGTGCTAACCGCTAACAGCTAATGGCTGATGTTTTCTGGTTGAACGTCAGTGACGGCAGGCTGAGATCCTCACCGCTGATTGGCTACCACGAGATCGCGTCACGCGAATATGACGCTTGAGTTGAAAAAATTGAACTCGAGCGTTTGTCGCGGCACCGTTCAATCGCGCCGCGGAATTCGCGTCTACCGCGTCCACCGCTTCATGCTTGCCGTCGGAGCGAATTCGCGTCTGTCTGCGCCTCTGCATTGACTTTACATGTAATCGCGCCGCCCACAAACATCGCATCGCGTCTGGTGTGAACGCAGCATAATATGTCCTCTTTGAAAGGTTCCCCTTCCCCTCATACACCGTGCCGTACCTCCTGCTCAGCAGACTGTCTCCGTCCGTGTCGTTGGCTCCCACTTGGCCCATGTCGTAGGTGTCGTCGTACTCGTCGTCGTAGTCGTCTAGGCCGTACGCCTCGGGGCTCTCTCCAGGCTCCAGGACCACCTCGTCCACCACCGTCTCGTAGGACAGGTAGCGAGCTTTCTGCTCCGCTATGTGCTGCTTGTCGTTCAGCAACTCTTTGGCGCTCTCCCCTTTCCTGCAAGAATTATAATAAACACAGAGCAGATCACAGGCAGTCCCACCTTTTCTTCTTTCTTTAAATATGTAAATGATGTTAGCTTTATTAAAAATCTTACTTTGCTTTCACTAAACATTTTGGGTAGGGTTTTTTAAGCACATAAAGAGGAGTATTCTTTCTGGGCTCATTTTACCTCCTGCCTTTCCAGATGCGGGACATGTCCACCTGGTCTCTGCGGAAAACGTCAAACTCGTCATCATCGAACACGTTGGATCTGACGTTCAGCACATCTGGAAGCGGCTCCACCACTGGCCTGAAGGGACGGAAGAAGAACGGGAGTCAAACACGGCTTTGAGGACACATTTAGCTTCAAATGATTCACTACACCCATTCTACAAATCATCTGCAATAGATTTGATCATTTGTGGAGTTTGTCCCAAAAAGTATTAACAGCAATTTAGGTTATCAATTAACTGAAGTTATCAAATATATATCATTAACAAGCAATAATGCTGAAGATTTGAATGTTTCATCTTCTTAAAGGGGCCCTATTATGCTTTTGGGGGTTTTCCCTTTTGTGTTAGAGGTTTGTGTGCATGTTAATGGTCTGCAAAGATTAAAATCCTAAAGAATCCTCCAGAGGGAGTCGAGTCCCCCCCTGCCTGAAAGGCCTCCATTGGACTCCTTTGTTAACCTATTTTCGATTTGCTAGCGCTCCAATACATTACACGTGATTTGCGTAGGGGCGTGCATTACTATGATAACGCCATCGGAGTAAATAAGAAATTAGAGCAGCAAAAATAAGTGACATTTTTTAACTAAAAGCAATTATTTCTACATGTGCCCCTCTCTATCAAAATCAGACGGATTTTAACTGCGTTCCGAGATAATAAAACTTGTGATTGTGTTATTTTGGGGTTCAGGTTGATTTTAAATAAAGTGTTGGCTTTCAGAACGTATAATTCTACTCGCCATATTGAGACGATAAACACGTTTTTTAAGCTTGTACGGACAGGCTATCAACTTAAGCTCTCACTTACACACACGTTCTTGATGCTACTAGCTTAAAAGTGAGTTAGCCTAATTCATTGGACAGATGACTGAACAATAATCTGCTGCCTGTTGAACATCATTGAAGGAACCGCCTGTTAACAAACTTTGTCAATAAAGATTTCAGAATCCAAGCTAATCCAATGCAGCACCTCTTTTCACCCACTGTCTGAAACCAGAGCCCAGTCTGCTCTGATTGGTTAGCTGGCCGGCTCTGTTGTGATTGCTCAACTGCGTAGATATGTCCCGCCTCTTAGGCCATTACGTACAATGTGTTGGCCGATCTATGTGGCAATAATAAATAATTAGCATTTTTAGGTAAAGGCCCCCCTGTGTGTGGAGTCACCTGGGCATGGCTCGGTCCAGCTGGTCCAGGCTGGGGGCCAGGCGGTCCTCCAGGATGTTGTTGATGACCAGCTCAGAGTTGTAGTGGTACTCCTTGAGGCAGGCCAGCAGGAAGCCCTCGCCCAGGTCCGGCAGCAGGTCCCTGATGCAGGTCAGCAGAGACTCCTGCTCCGCCTCGCTCACCGCTCCCTGAGAGGGACACCACGAGCAGAGGCTTCATTATCCTTACTGTCGTTTCAGTTTTTAATGAAATGGATTATAATATTATAGTTGTACTGATAAAGGTGCGGGTATATATGTTTTATTGATCTCTACTCTGTTTTTGATAGTGTGCATCTCTTCTGCTTTTTAGATTAACGGTTTTTTATGGGTTTTCTTTGTTTAACAAAGATATACATATATACAGGCTTTGGGAGTTAATAATGACATGTAACTGGATTACATTACTGCAATACTCCCTTACATAAAAAGACATTTCTACAAATGATTGCTAGCAGGATTCCAATGTTACAAAACAAAATAAAAGTTTGCAGTATAGTGTTTGTTGTTAAAGATCAGCTCTTATCTCTTCCCTGTAAGCTGTAATGTACTGTAGGCTAATACTTCAAGTGTGAATCTATACGCCTCCTACCTGAATCTGCTTTATGGCTTTCTTTCTTCCATTTGTTATTTTTATAATTCAGAAGTTGAACCTATATGTTCATTAAATAGTGTGTATGCGCACACTCGTTAGTAGTCACTATCACTAGTCATGTGAACTGAATGTTTTGACTGTTGAACAAAGCAAGACAAATGAAGACATGCTGCTTATGAGATATATGATAACAATTAGAGAACTCACAACATTGTTCCCTTTTCGGGGAGCGTCCACCATGGCCTCGGCCCCCCTCAGGCCCTCCCCCCCTCTCTCTGGCTCTCGGGCCTCAGCAGCACCGCCCGCTGCTCCCTGATACTGACTGTTGCTGTGTGGCCTCCGGTGGCCCACTGAGTCCCAGGCGCTCTGGACCCCCTGCAGCAGGTAGGAGGTCCGGGTCTCATCTCTGATCGGAGCAGGCCGTTAGGGGAAATAAACCATCAATACTGCAGACATCATTACCCGCTGCTAATATTACAGTATGGCTGTGAGAACATTCGTCCATCCTGAATATCCCTCCACTAAAACTGGTGGTTGACCTGATCTTATTGAAAAGGCAATATGCATCTTACCAACTGCGGTCCGAAAGAGGGTGGAAAGGGATACTATGGCCCTAGATATTAAAAAGGCGTATAAGGGCTGCCCCTACACTCTAGAAAAAACATTTGAATGTCATTTCTACCTTTGCAAACACAAGATGTATTATCCATCTTTGTCCCACATGTGGCTTGATTTGCTCCAACACAAATCTGATGTGGTTATATAGGCTCTATAAACCTACACAATTGATTTTCTAAATAGTTGCCGATTGGTCCACATGGCGCCTTTTTCTGGCAGGCTGGGCACTGGGCAGAGCGTCCTCCCAGCATTTCATCCAAAAAAAACGCTCCCAGAGCTTTTATATTGTTTCTTTGACAGTAGTATCTTGACAACGTATCACCGCTGCTGTATGACGGACTAGCTTTGCCCTCATGGATTTTATTAGTTGTTTGTGCTACTATATATTCGTTTCACCAAATAGCCCCACCGTCATATGCTTCCTCTCACACTCACCTGCAGCTGGCTGATTGCTTATACAAATGAGCTTTTCAGTCTTTGTTATGATATGGAAAACACAAGGTTGAAAAGAAGCTTCTCCTCCTGCTGCGAGGCACGTGCTCTGTTCTCATGGAATCAGTTGGAAAAAGAAGGTGGCGCACAGAAAGATCAGCTATGTGGCTCTTATTCAACCAAATGCTGCCCCTACACTCAAGAGAACATTTTACCCGGTGCAAACAGAAAATGTATGGTCCATCTTTGTCCCGAATTTGACTTGATTTGTTCTACTAGCTCAACAAAAACATGAACTCTGAAAAGATGGTTATTTTTTGGTCGAAACCGATTCAGAAAATATTATTTTTTTCCTGTAGAGCGGTGAAGGATACATGACAGGGAGGGCTTGTTGTAGGAGGCTGATGTAGTCTGCGATGGGGAACTGCTCATCAAAGTCTGACAAGAACCTGAGGGGACAAAGAAAAAGGAAATCCCATCATGAACTTTGTTATTGTGTCTCAACCAAGCCCCCAAGAAGTGCGCCGGAGTCTGATGAGAATATTTGTGCTGGTCAAACGGCGGTACTACACTTCCTTTAGGTTGCTGGGCCCGGAAACACTTTTTCCCATTGACTTACATGGGGAAAGAGTGGTCTGTAACGCGTTGGATAATTATTTTTAAACTAAATAAACTACCCAGAATGAACACTTGTATAGCCCTTATTAAAAACATTCGTTCCTCAAGTTGTAAAAATGTGCTAATGACGTTTTTCTGAGAGTTATTTCCCTCTGCATTATGAACGCTAACCCACAGGACCGCGCCGCCCGGCACGTTCATGTTACGTGTTCAGTACTACATGAGTTTCTCTTTACCCATGGATGCACAATAACAACGGACCATATCGCCTTACTGCCAGCCCACGGAGCTGTAATAATGGATATATTGCACATGTTTGCTGTAATTCATCATTTGTAAAATATTATACTACATGGGCTGTATGATGTAAATCTTGTACCGTAAATGTTGTATTAAATAAAGTTAATATTACTGACGTAGATTAACGTCCCTGTAGCTTCTTATTGCACTTGCAATTGTTTTAGTTACTTGTGGGCTACTTATCATGAATAATCACAGTTACTATCCTTTTACCCCATCACATTTCAAAAAGAAATAGGCTATTGTTATTTTAACTCCACCACAGTAATCCATCATGAGCTTTACTTTTTAGATAAAGTTTTAACTCACAATTGATCATAACAGGCTTCAACATATACATTTTTATATATTACCAAGTGGTTTCATGTACAACCCACACAAGTATCATGCTAAATGAAGCTCTGTTGCTTGGATATCGCTAGATCCTGATGTCAGCGTAATATAAAAGTACATAACGATTGATGTGTAACTTAGCATAATTTACTAGCTAGCTGCTAACTGCCGCCTCGTTAATATAAATCCAGTACCATGCTGTCATGAACGCGCGGTGCTGTTACGTGTATGCAAATTCACGTGCTTAATGTGAACGAGCCTTTTGGGCGGCGTGGTTAAAGTTGCGCATGCGCTATGAGCGCACATACGGGTACTTCTCAGGCATGCCGGGTAATCTGTGACGTTTCACTCTCTCAAAAGTTGGGCCATTTTATCATCATGCGCTAATGAGCAACTCTCATAGGAATGAATGAGGCCCCGCCTCCCACGCTGTATCCAGTTCTTATTATACATCCATGGTCTCAACAGATGAGCGCAGCGCTACGTCACTGCCCGGCCAAATAATCGCCCCGCCCACTTTCAGGTGAAAACAAAGAATCGGCATCAGGCGTTATCATTTGTTATCATGCCTAAAAGCTGCTGTGCCTTGTATCGCACGTCAAACAACACAAAGATCCAACGTTCACATTTTCTATATTTTGACTAACAGGACAGTAAAATTGAATATCTGTGGCCTCTACAGAGAGATTGTTATTATTGGGACCCGGTCAGTCATGAATGTACATCTACACTTCCTCACAGCTACATTGTGATGCCAGTAGTCAGAGTAAACATGTGTAAGGTCAAAGTAGTGACTGTAGATGCTGCATTAGAAGATAGAAAAAGTGAGACAACCCACTTTGGAAAAACCCCCACCCCTCAGAACCAGTAGTTCTACCTTTTCTCAGGTAAAAAAGATGTGAATTGTTGTAGCAGCTCCTCTGCACATGATTGCATGTTTTCGCCCCTGCAAGAGAACAAATGCAGCGAGTTAATGTTTGCATGTGGATGTCAATTCTGCTGAGATGCATGTAGAGAGTGTGGACGTCTCACCCCTCCAGGATGGGCTGCAGGCAGGTGTGATGCAGCAGCAGCTGGGCCATCTCCACTATCTTACGACAGGAGTGGGACAGCCTTTTCCACAAGTCCTCCTGAAGACTAAAGCATGGTTTGGGACATTATTCATGTGTGGGTGTCAATCTTTTGGCTTTAATGACGTTTTTTTTTGTTTTTTTTAAATGCAGCAGAAACTCACCCTGTAGCATCAAAGTTCCTCTTCCTCACCGCCTTCTCCAGGTCGGGCACAGCGCTCTCATAAAACGAGACCAGTCTGCAAGAGAGATGAAAACAAAGTGGTGGTGAGACGCTTTTGTGAAAGGTGCGGCTGCGGTACTACCGGGTCAGTCCATTGGTTACCTGCTGAGGAAGCCGTGGGAGTGGAAGCTGGAGCAGGCGGCAGGGAAGATGTCCAGGAAGGCATGGATGGTGGTGGTGGAGTCACACAGGTACAGAACAAGATCTACCAGATCCTGGGACAGAGAAAAAAAAACCCACATTTATTATCAATGGCATGAAGCAGCAGTGTAACTTTCTATGATTTGGTATCTCTAAATTCACTTTTAAAGACCCAGTTTTATAGAATGGAATAAGGGGCAGGCCTTATATAATAATAATAATAATAAGGTGTCTTATTATGGTGCTGGTTAGCCAGCACCATAATTTCTAAGGAAAGCCAGATTCATTCATCAATCTCATTCACCTTATATATAACGAACGACACATTTTATTAAATTACTTTCACATAAATAGTCACTCTTGCAGATTTGTCTCCGTGCCAGAACAGTCTGAATTATATTTTTATTTAAGAACACATACATACTGGATATTACAATACGTAGTATCTCTGTGTGTGTGTGTGTGTGTGTGTGTGTGTGTGTGTGTGTGTGTGTGTGTGTGTGTGTGTGTGTGTGTGTGTGTGTGTGTGTGTGTGTGTGTGTGTGTGTGTGACCTGCTGGCTCATGGTCATGGCAGTGGGCTGTTTGTGTGCGTTCAGCTTCATCGGCTCCATGGCTGCGGCCCCCTCACAGTGGAGACCACACTTATCCATGATGGTGTCGAAGATCTAAGGGCAATGAGAGAGAGAATAACAGAAAGAGAGAATTAGAGGAGAGACATTTACAATGTCACTGTAGGACATATAAAACACTTTTCAAATGCCCGGGGTGCAGTTATTGGAAAATTGTGAGTTTTTGATTTCTTTCCATTAAATCAGAGTTTTTGTTGAATTCTCAATATCGACTAGTGCAATATCCAATAGCAAATGATATATCTGCGCATTATTTGTTTAAAGTAAAAACATGTGTCTTGTGGTGCTGTACAGATGTCTGGGTCTACAAATCGTATTATTTAGACTCCATCAAAAATAGTTTGTTACAGAAAACAAATATCAAACATCATTATAATATATTTTTAATAACATCTTACAATACTTACTATAATACTTATAATACTATAATAATACTATAAATCCTAATTTATGACATCCTCCTAATATTTTATAGAGGCCCTATTATGCTTTCCCTTTCCTGTAGTATGTTATATCGGTTTGTGTGCATGTTAATGGTCTGCAAAGGCAAAAATCCCAAAGCTCCCTCTCCCACATACTCCTCCAGGAGTCAGATGGTGAGCCAAAAAGGATTTCCTCAGTTTTCTTGGTGTTGATCTCAAGAGCATTGCTCAGTCCACTCGACCACCTGATTTACAGCCTGTTGGTGCAGCTCAGGGTCGTCTGTGTTACTGAGCAGAGATATTATTGCAGTATCATCAGAGTACTTAATGATGAATTGATTTGGTGTGTTGGTACGACAGTCATCAGTGTAGAGAGTAAAGAGCACAGCTGAACTCACGCAGCCCTGGGGGGGGGCCTACATTGGTTGTGATGGCAGATGACAGGGTTTTGTTAACCTTCACAAGTTGCTCTCTACTGGTGAGGAAAGCAGCATACCAGTAAATCAGGTATGGATTTACTTCCATTTTGGCCATTTTTGACACCAAGATGTCTGCTTGTATTGTGTTGAATGCTGATGAGAAGTCTAGGAAGAGTGCTCTTGCATAGGTGTTACGTTTATCTAAGTGTTTAGTGATGATGTGAACCAGAGTGGCCACAGCATCTTCCGTACCGCACCCTTGTTTATAGGCAAATTGGTATGGATCGAGTTTGTCTTGTGTTGTACTGATAAGGAATCGGAGCAGAATTATTTCTAGTGATTTCATAATCACTGATGTGAGGGCTATTGGTCTGTAGTCCTTATGTTCTTTTGGGCAGCGGTTTGATGTGGGAAGTTTTCCATGACAGAGGGATGGTGTGCGTGTCAATGGAAGCCTGAAAGATGGGTTGCCACACTGGAGCCAGCTCAGTAGCAAAGTTTTTCAGCAGAAAACCGCTGCACCCATCTGGCCCAGCCGCTTTCTTGGTGTTGGTGCACTGAAATGTTTTTCTGACCTCTTCGACACTGATGGTAATTGTGTCAGAGGAAGTAGGTATTATGGTTTCGAGCATTTCAGTGCACTTTGCAAAATTATCCAGTGACTCGAAACGGGTAAAGAACGTGTTTAGTTCGTTAGCAAAACAAAATTCATTGTTCGTCACAATGGGTTTAGCTGAGGGTGACATGCCTGTCATGGTTTTCATGGTGTCCCATACTTTTTGGGGGTTTTTGGCTTTAAAAGCATTTTCCAAAAGCTCTCTGTGTGCCAGTTTTGATTCCCTCAATTTGACTTTCAGTTCTTGCTCTGTCTGTTTAAGTGCTCCATAGTCTTTGTTTTTGAAAGCTATTTTCCTGGTATTTATAATGGTTTTAATGTCCTTAGTCACATAAGATTTATTATTTGGATAGATTTGTATTTCTTTAGTGGGAACAACTAGTTCTACACAGAAGTTGATATAATCATTGGTAACAGTAGTTATTTCATCTAGTGAACCTTCCTGAAAAATGTCCCAATCTCTCCAATCAAAACAGGCTTTCAACTGTTCCCTACTTTCATTTGTCCATGTCCTTATTACTTTCTTTTCCGGTTTACTTCTCTTCAGTTTGATCTTATACACTGGTATCATATTCACAACATTATGATCAGAGTTCAGTATTGGTGCTCTACATTTAGTCACATAGGCTCCATTTACGAAGCATTTGTCCAGGATATTGTCTTTTCTGGTGTGATCCTTAACATACTGCTGGAGCCCAGGTAATACAGTCTCTAGGCGACATTGGTTCATGTCCCCGAGCACTATTGCCGGTGCATCGGGGTGGCTGAGTTGCAGCTCGTGAACACAGTCAGCGATGGAGCCGGCCGCCAGTGACGCTCTGCAGCTGGGAGGCACGTAAATAACAAACAGTAAAATACACCCGAATTCTCTAGGCAGATAAAAGGGTCTTAACATCATGCCGAGAATTTCTACATTGGGATCACAGGTTTTACATTTGACAGAGTATGATCGGCACCACAGGTCATTAATATACACACAAATACCGCATCCTCTGGTTTTCCCCGAGTTCGCATCCCTGTCTGCTCGAACAAGGGTGAATCCGGGTACTTCAAAGAGAGATTCAGGCATCCTAGATTGAAGCCAACTTTCCGTGAAACATATTAAAGAGGCCTCACGAAATTCATGACAGTACCTTGTGTATATCCTTAGTGTGTCTACTTTGTTGCTCAATGAGCGCAGATTTGTCAGAATGATGGATGGATGGAAGTGGTGGCCGGCTAAATCTCCGCCGTAGGCGATTCCGATTTCCTGATGTTTCTAAGCAGCTCCCGAGGGATGTCATTCGATAACGAAGAACACAGGTGGCTTGGTGTATTCGTAGGAGGCCGATCGCATTGTAGCTCCAGCATAGCCTCGCGGCTGTAGCAGTGTAGAGGCCGGGGCTCCTCGCCATACCTGTTCGTGTTGTGGCTCAGGTGTGTTTTGAAAAGTTGTATGGCCAGACATGGTCCGCAGAAGGCAAAAATAATCCACAGGATCAAAAGCATAGTCTCTCAAAAATGATGTTTCATACAGACAAACGTTTAGACCAGTGGTTCCCAACCTGGGGGGCGCAGGGGGGGGCGCCAGGCCTCAGATGATTTGAGGCCAAATATCATATTTAGACTTTTTTTTTAACATTTTTTTTTTACTTCAAGTTAGTAGCTATTAAAGGCATAAAAAGACAGAAATGTATAATTCTTTCTTTAATATAAATGTTTCTTCTGCCCGTAAAGTGTCCAAACCAGGCTTTTCTGGATAAGCGCATTTTTAAAACATAGTCATTGTCCATGCCGGTTTCAGTTGGATTATTTGTCACAGTTGCTCCGATCAGATCGGTCTCCTCCATTTTGTAGATTATTTACGACTTTTGAATCCACATAAACACATCAGCAAAATCCGGCTTACTTTGAGCATGTGTTTTAAACAGTTTAATCCCTATGTGAATTGTTTCCACTTGCGCCGTCCTTTAATTTCTTCATACAGCGGGAATCCAAATGAATTAATCCTGAGTCCAATAACCATCAAAGTCACTCCAATAGTGCTCCTTAATTACGCTTTCATCCTCCTTTAACAAAATACTCCACATTCATCCAGTTTGTGACAGTAGTTGTAGCATTTTTGAGACTTTTAAACTTGAATTACCGCTGTTGCCCCCTTGTGTGTGTGGGGGGGGGGGCGCAACTTCCAACAGGAGTCATTTGGGGGGGCTCTTGGGAAAAAAGGTTGGGAACCACTGGTTTAGACAATAATTAGCCCAAAACAAACAAAAAACAAAACACGGACGGACGGAGCAACTGAGACGCGGTGCGCAGCCGAGCAGCGCACTTCACGCGAGAGTTCCGAGCTCTGGTTTCAGACAGAGGGTGAAAAGAGGTGCTGCAGCACAGGCAGTATGAGAAAAATAAAGAGCTTTTTGAACATTAAAGCTTGTAAACATGTAACAGTAGAGACAATACATACAAATATGAACCTGGAAATTAGCATAATATGTCAAGTCAAAATAAAATGCAATATTTTTTTTCTAAGGTTACTACTGCACTTTTCGTATAAATATACAGCTGTGTTTTGTAATCATAACCTCACCTGTAACACAGTGGGCACTGTCTCATCCAGGTCGACGTAGTAAGACGGCTGGTTGGTAAAGATGTTCTCTGAAAAAGTGAAACCCAATATCAAAGTAACCAAAGAGTGAACACATAAAAACGAGGAGTCTTCACCACATCTATTCATCTAATGCGGTGGTTCTCAAATGGGGGTACGAGGACCCCTAGGGGTACGTTGGAGTACTGCAGGGGGTACGTGAGATTTATTTTATGTTAATGGAAAAAAAACATAATTAATGCATTTACACAAACTACTAATAGTAGATTAACTACTTTATTCAAAGGTTTACAGTAATTCTGGATAATAAAATGGGAAAAATAAACGGGGTGCTCTCTTTTCCTCTCCCTCTCCTGACAGCCCGTCAGTCTCGTGCAGCTCGCTGAACCTGTAATAAGTGACCCGACAGTAAAGAATAAATATATTTATAACTAGTTTAGCTAGTTCCAGAGTAGATAAACTAGCTAAGTGTGTTAGGTCTAACTCTTAGTGTATTTTGCTCGGCTCAACGATCCGTCACAGCGGGGGAGCTGTGATCATGCAGAGCTGCGTGTTCTCCGTCAGCAGCAGCTGATCTGATCTCTGATCTCTCTCTCGCCGTCCGGTTAGACTTCACTCGCGTTTATGTCCAAATATATCAGATCTAGCTAGTTCTAGTTAATTATATGACTGCCTGCTTATCAAAGGACCTAAACAATAAGCAAAGTATAGCGCAGCATTATGCATATGTTTATATGAGGGGTCAAAATCCCATGCTCATAAAATGCTCATATTTTTTTATCTTCATTCCCCACGCCCCAAAATAAATAAATATACAAATATACCAATTTCAGGAAAAGTAACGAAGTTTGAGCAGTGTGGGTTTTATATTAACAGAGTTACACATATTTCAAAATGCAAAGTGTAATAACTGAAGTTTGCCTCCCTGTCAGAATAACAAAGATCCTCAGTGAAGCACAAGCCCATGTTTCTCACTATGTAAGTACAACTTATTAAAAAGATCAGTTCAATGCAACTAATGTCGTCTCAGTGTTATTGCATGATATTAAAATTGGTTTGCCGTGAATTTAATGATGGATTGTAAACATTTGAAATGTAGCATTTAAGTGTTTCTCAGTTACAATGTTGTTGTTTTAATAAATCAGACACTGATGGTGCAGCGCTGTACTGTACCTCTTTATATAGGCATTTTTTCCTTAACAAATAGTTTTTGCGCTGATCAGGGGGTACTTGGCTGAATTTTTTTTTCAAAGGGGGTACATGAGTGAAAAAAGTTTGAGAACCACTGATCTAATGGATACATTTCCCATCAAAATACCCTCTGATGATTCAAATGGAACCGTAATAAAAAAGTTCACCTATCATCTTGTGCAGCAGCTGGCTGTTGCCCTTCCCAAAGAGCACACACAGATCCAGAAATTTGGGAATGTCAAAAAGGAAGTTCTCGTAGATAATTTCTCCGAACACAGACGGAGTGAGGAAGCTCTCCTGAAGAAGAAGGGAGAGTCAGCAAGTGTTACATCTATACAAAAGTGCTGTCGGAACTGTTTACTAATCAAACTATAACTGGTCTTTTTAGTGATCAGTAAATGATTCTTTCTTCACATTTGGTTGCAGCTCCTACCTTAGACTCTTTATGCGTGGCCATCCTGAGGAAGGTCAGGAACACCGCCCTGTGGACGCAGCGCTGCATGTCTGCCACCGCCGGGGAGGAGGGCATGGTGGCCAGGTCCAGGCCGCGGGGGGCGTGATGCAGGTATGAGTCTAGGCACTTCTGCAGAGTCTCATCAAACACCACCTGATGGAGGAGAAGGAGCGGAGAAGGTCATGACTCAATCTACAGTGTTTTTTTGTTCTGCTGCCATACACTTTTGTGGCTCACAAAGATGAGAGGTTTACTATGAATCAGCCTAGCTAACAAGATGTTGAGGCTGGCCAACAAAATGATCTCTGACCCCAACTATGTACTGAACAGCCATTTTATGAATATATGTTATTATCAAAGGAGATACAGGGTCCCACCTGTTTGAATAAGGTTAGCCTAAAGCAGTGGTTCCCAACCTGGGGGGTGCCAAAGGTCGCAGGGGGGGCGCCAGGCCTCAGGTGATTTGAGGCCAAATATCATATTTAGACTTTTTTTAAATTTTTTACTTGAAGTTAGTAGCTATTAAAGGCATAACAAGACATAAATGTATAATTCTTTCTTTAATAGAAATGTTTCCGCCCGTAAAGTGTCCAAACCAGGCTTTTCTGGATAAGCGCATTTTTAAAACATAGTCATTGTCCATGCCGGTTTCAGTTGGATTATTTGTCACAGTTGCTCCGATCAGATCAGTCTCCTCCATTTTGTAGATTATTTACGACTTTTGAATCCACATAAACACATCAGCAAAATCCGGCTTACTTTGAGCATGTGTTTTAAACAGTTTAATCCCTATGTGAATTGTTTCCACTTGCGCCGTCCTTTCATTTCTTCATACAGCGGGAATCCAAATTAATTAATCCTGAGTCCAATAACCATCAAAGTCACTCCAACAGTGCTCCTTAATTACGCTTTAATCCTCCTTTAACAAAATACTCCACATTCATCCAGTTTGTGACAGTAGTTGTAGCATTTTTGAGACTTTTAAACTTGAATTATCGCTCAGGTGTTTTCTAGCAGCATTGACGATAAATACATTTTTGAAACTTGTAAAGACAGCATGACAATTTAAAAATAACCTTCAAATAATGAATGAGGCTGATCGTACCACGACAGGGTTCCAGACAGGGGGTTTTCTGTCTCGGCTTTCACATTTATAAACTATTATCGACTCAATCAAATGATAAATAAAGCGCCTAAATTGTGCTTGAAAATATTTGTGTAATGGTAAACAAACAAAATATAAGCCTATTATATTTGGGCTATTATAATCTCATAAATTCATGGGACTTATGTTATAATAACACAGATACATGTGAGTGTGTGTTCCTATATACAATATGAACTAATTGTTTAAATACATTTTACAATTGTTGTTGAATATCTGCTTGAAAATATTTCCCCTAGACTTCTGCTTTCAGAGCTAGTTGATTTGACTAAAACAAATAATAATCAAATGCATAGGCAATCATGTAACATATATTTATAGTGTCAAAGGCTCTTTAAGGGCGACCATAATGCTGATGTGGCGCGAGGTCGACAGCCCTGGACTAAAGCATTTTTTGTGCAACAGTCAATCCTACATTGAAATCCCAGTCTTCAGTGATGGTAATAGTTAAATGTGTGTTTTTCTTGAACCTTGTCTTAATATTTGTCCTTGTTTATGTTGCAAATAGAGCGATACATTTCAGACTTGATCTGACAAAAGAGTATTATGATATTGTATCTTAATGATAACGGCCCCTCACCTGACACCAGAACTTGTCATGGGGCAGTGCCAGCAGCCACTCCAGGTCCTCTGTGATGAATTTGGCATGTTCCAAAAACTCCTCCACCTCAGCGGGAGAGCCGTCTTCTGGAGGGGATTTGTAAGGCACAAAAAAACGGTCCTCCTTCCTTGCCGGGTGCTGATGTGAAACAAAAGGCACATGTTTTCCTTCTGATACAACTTGACTTGTGAAAGGTGAGTAAGGTAATTCTTTGACTGTTCTTTTGTATAAGATGATGTGATATGACTCACCAATGCAGGCAGTGTCTGCTCTTTTCCCAGCGGGCCCTTCTCAGTCACCTGCTGCTCATCCAGTGGCACTTGGGCACAAGCCATGGCTTTCCCTCGTTAGTTTATTCTACTACATCAAAACAACACAAAGACATTTCAATTACATTTTGTTCAGTATATCCTTTATTTCGATGTACTTGTAGTTTAAATCCTAGAACACGCTTTGTAAACTCTTTGTAAACACAGAAGTGTGATTTGATTGATATTATATTCACCAAAAACAGAACCTGTCATGGATTATTCTTTTTTTTCTTTTTAAACAAAGAGTTTGTTTTGTCTATACTTTATTAAATATAATGAGCAATTACAGAACTATAATCTCTCGTATTTGTTTGTCTTCTTTAAAAGCAGGCCACGACATTTTACTCACCTTCATTTATTATATCACTTACAACTACTTCAAATCACACTGAAATACTTCCAGTCCCACAGAATTACAGCATAACCAAAACCAAAACTGTGCAAATAAGTACTATATAATCAGATTGTTTTGTATTATCCTTAGTCTAAGAGGGTACATTTACATTTGGTTGCATTTATTTATAATTGTTGTATTTGTATTGGCTTTGTGCTATATATTTGTGAATGAACTATATGTCTGTACCTTGTCTTGTATACTGATGTTTGCACCTTATGCTCATTCGTTCAATGTGTTGTTTTGAAAGGTACCTCCATCTTCTTTTCTGCACTGTATAGTAATGGAAAGTATATACTGTGTCTCCCGATGTCTTTAATCTAATGTTTAATCGGGAGCAGTACATCTTTGTACACCCTGCAATGGAAAGGATGCAGGTAATATAGGGACATCGTGTATTACTCCCTTCTTCTGACATATTAGCAGTTGGAACGTGTCCAAACTGCTGAAGCAGGGAACTCCTGCTAGCTAGCTAGCAGCAGCTGTTTATAAAGTACTAACAGCTTGAGAGTTAGCCAAATTAACTAGCTGTTAGCTAGGTTATATCAATGTTAGTTACGACTGCTTATAGAAAGTAATATAGCCACCTGTTAACCACCAACGTTACAGCCCAACAATTGTCTGCTTACATCGAGACTGTAGGTTCATGCGTAGTCAGATGAGACAGCCTGCTAGCTATCTGCTAATCACCAAGTTACCGAACTGACAGCTCGGCAATGAATGGAGAGAAGCTAACGTTAATGTAACGTGGCTAACCTGCCGGTGACTTCAGGACCGTCCCTTTGTGACTCGTATGTACAATCATTGAAACGTTATCGGAAATGAACGCTTTAATAAATATGCTCACCTCTTAATGTGACTGCCTGTAAATCGTTAAAGCCATTTCGTCTGAAAAGACGTAGCAGCTTTCTACAGTTTCAGTTTCCTAACGTTTCTAATCACCTGTGTCCTGCCCGGAAGTGACGTAATGTTGTTTTGTCTTTTACAGTTGCCTGTCTTTACTGCTCCCTGGTGGGCACCAGAGCGCAGCACAAGAGGGTTCATTTATCAAAAGATACATTTATCTATCTATATACAGGTACATCTCAATAAATAAGAATGTCGTGGAAAGGTTGATTAAGTTCAATATTTCTATTAAAAAAAGGAAACTCGTATATTATATAGATTCATTTCACACAAAGTTAATTATTTCAAGTGGACCACTGAGCCACAGACCAGTTCCTTTTCTCCTTAGCGGTAAGACGCTTCTGATGTTGTCTCTGGTTCAGGAGTGGCTTGACACGAGGAATGCACACATGTATCCCATGTCCTGGATACTTCTGTGCATGGTGGCACTGACTCCAGCCTCAGTCCACTCCTTGTGAAACTCCCCAGCTTTTTGAATGGCCGTTGCTTGACAATCCTCTCAAGGCTACGGTTATCACCACAAGGACACGGTGTTGTTTCTGTTTTTTCCTGTCTATCTTCCTACACTGCTTTCCATTTGAGTAATAAAAAGATACAGATATAAGAAGAATTTCCATCATACTCATCATTTAAACCATTAGCTAACAAACAAACAAACAAAATATCTTTCCAGCAACCTAGTGGTTTTTTCATTCGTTCAAAGGAAAAGTGGATGTGCTTTTATGGAAAACCATGCTGAATGTATTATATGATAGACTGATATGGAAAAGCATATGCAGAGACATGACCGATTTCTGCTTTTGCCATTTTCACGGATATTCCCAAAACACACACTGAAAAAAATGTATACTTTGGACTAACTTGAAAAAAATTCGCTAATTTGTTACAGCTAATTTTTTTTGTTTATTCCAACTTAATTTTTTGACCTACATTTTTTTATTTGAGTCAAGTAAAAAATATTGCTTCCGTCTAAGATATATATTTACATTGACACAAAGTAATAAGATGATTCATTCTGAAGACCGCACAACATTTATTACTTTGTTATAACTTAATTTTTCCTTTGGGACTAACCTCATATTTATATTAGATCTAAGTAGAGTTTTTAAGTTTGTGAAAACAAATTAAAAAAAGACTTCATTTTGTTGCAGGCAATATTTTTTATTATAGCTTCAAATATGTTTCTTTTATTACAAAGCAAACACTTGAATGTACATCAATACAATACTGTGTTTTGTTTACTGTAAACAAATTACATTTGACTTATAACACTTTGTTTGGCTCAGTTCACATAAAGGAATATTCTCTTCAAAAGACCTTACCATTTATTGGGATGTCTTTAAAATATGCATCACCTATTCTGTTTTATAAAATACAATATTTTTGTAATTATAAATAAATACATCAATAAATTAATACAATTAATTGAGTAAATGATGCAACCAATTTGCACTTATGTAAAAAATAAATGAAGGTAAATCAAGATCACTTTGACTTGTTTTTTTTACATCACAAATATGCATATGAACATGTTAAACTAGCTTGCATATCGCTCCTTTAAAATGTAAATATGTAATGCGTTTAAACCTGGCTGCCTTTTAATTAAAGACTAGAATGTATGCATGACATCTTGTTTTTTTTGACATTTTTAAACACTTCAACAATATTTTCTGCAGCTCTTAATTACAACTTCAGATACACATGTGTTAGCCATTAAGAAGGGTTTAAGTAGCATTACCTGAATCTGTGAAGTCACATTCTTTTTTAACTTCAAATGAAACATACAGAGGCCAAAACAATTAAGTAACGAAAAATGCAGTTCAATCCCTAGCATTGCAATCTTTGAACAAGGTTGGCCTTTTGTGTCAGTTCAATCATTTAAATCAGGTAAGAGTTCTTGTAGAGACTGAGCTGGAGGGTGTGCACAAGATGTCAGTATCGTCTGATTGAGCAGACACTGCTTCTTCACAGACGGTAAAGATGTATTCTTGGACACCATCATCAGGTATTGGGATGACCTTGATAGTTGTCAAATCTCCAAGGTCAGCCGTGGATGTCAGGTTGACTAGTGCATCTCCAATGTCTCTGTCTTGATATTGCATTCTAAAACGTTCACCTATAGAGTGCCACAGTGACACATCCTAAAACCCGGAAGTCAGTCATAATTTTACCACTTCCGGTTCCCTCTACAAAAAAGCAATGGGATTTCTCCATAGGATTTTGGAAAATAGCTGGAAATAAGGTCTGTGGTTGATACACATGTAAGAGACGGATCACGTTTTGTTCAGTCGGATAACTCATATATGAGAGTTCAAAGGTCTTTTATTTTGAAACTCTACATCAGAATGTCCTGATTTCCTCTGAGTGACTAGATGGGGTGTCCTGCTATCACCCTGACGTGAAATAAGTATTTTATACTGGATAGTTTTTGTTTTATTCTCATCTAAAAACAGAGGGATGATAGCTCATATATGAGACTTCAAATGTATTTTATTTTGAAACTTTACATCAGATTGTCCTGATTTTCTCTGAGTGACTAGATGGGTTGTGCTGCTATCACCCTGTAGTCATATTAGTCTTTGATACTGGACAGTTTTTGTTTTATTCTTATCTAAAAACAGAGGGATGATAGCTCATATGAGACTTCAAAGGTCTTTTATTTTGAAACTCTTTAAGTTTTACATTCACTCAGTTATAATGTGGTAGTTATACGTAGTTTGTCTTACATTATTATTGATCACATTAGGCCTATATAGTACATATTTTAATATGTTTGGTATACTTGTTATTAACTGAGTAAGCACTTTTATTTTGAAGGCAGTTTTTCCAGGCCGCTACCGTAATGCATAGGATATTCGCGCATCGCAAAACAACCCGGATGCTGGCTTGACTGTGTTTTCCGAAGTGGAGGCTGGCTTGACCGCAGTAACCTGTGTACGCACGAGGGCACCGTGTGTGTATGAGTCTGTATTTTTGTATCATTTTGAAGTGCACATCTTTTCAGCATTCAAAATATTCTGTTGTATGATTTTGTTTGTTTGTCAGAGGCAGTTATGCAAAGCTATATTGATTTATTTCCCAAACAGTCCAATTACCTCATGATTGTGAGATGGAGAAAAACATATTGAATGGTTCTTAACTCCATGGCTGCTTCTCAGGTCGATTAAATTAAATCCTTGCTTCCCTCACTTGCGTCGTTTCCCTGCGTTTAGTCCCTCCCACCAGGGAAGCATGGAGGGACGCAAGGAAACCACGAGAAGCAGGGAAATGAGTTTTAAGAGCAATGGGACGTCCTTTCCTCCGGAGCGTCACGTGAAGCGACGTCCGTTTGTGATGACGCTGCACAGCTGATCGTCTGACAGCAGCTCTGTCCCCGTTATTTCCACACACCCCCGCCTCTGTTAGTGCACATTTACTGACACAAACATTTGTATCATCTGTTGTAGACCCCAATAAATAAAATAAAATAAGAACTAATTCTCAAAAAAGATAAACGCCATTCTTAAAATGTATAAACGAACAATAGTTTGATTACTATTGATTAGAGTGCACAATAGAAATAAAATAATTGAGAGAAGAAAAAGAGATATGTTATCTATCAAAACCCAGTTAGATTAACATTCATTGGATTGCACACTTTGTTTGTTTGGATATGTAGTAAATGAACATTTAAATAGCACTTAATGACTGACTGAATGGAAATGACAATAAATTAAAATGTAAAACGAAAAAAGCGATCATGAAAATGTTTCCAAAAAATGAATTAAATGATTTTTGACCACTTTGTTGTTCAGATATATCACATATTTGTAACTAAATGATACATGAATTGAAACAAAACACGGTATAAACTGAGGAGTGACTCCCGTGAGGTTCATGTATTTTCTTCACTCTGCTCTCATGTCAAGAAGCATCAGATCAGTGCATGCACTGCCTCGTCCAATCAGTGAGCGATACACAGTAAGGGGGCGGGGTGAGTATCTGAGGATTTCATCGGAGGATGGTCTGGTGGTTCCTCGGTTATCGCTCCTCCATGATCGCTCCTCGATCCTCGGTCCTCCGGCAGAAATAAGAGCCATGGGACGGTACTCAAGATGGCGCAGGCAAATCAACTTCCGGTGAGACCGAGGACCGAGGAGCGAGGAAATGAAAATAGTCGATCTGAGAAGCAGCCATGTCTTACGATGAGAAGAGCACCCTCCAGATATGCTATCTTTTAGCCATTTAACACATTGCTTTTGAGAAGAACAAAGGTTTTAAGATTAATTTCCTTTGCAAATGAACAAACTGGTTGGGAGTTGTTCTAACGGATAAAGTGACATTTTACATTAAGTTAGCTTTAATACATTTCTTATTTGGCATGAGTTTCTGCCCAATAACTGATCATAAATGTACAAAATCCATTAACTACCAAAGAGGCAATTGAAAGTGCAATAGGAATGTATTCATTTAGGTCAGAATCCATTTTGCTTTTCTGTTTTAAATGATATTAAATGTCCCAACTTAATGTCAAGAAAAAGCATTTATTTGTAACTGAACATGGTGAATGATTACAGAACTGAAAATAAAAAAACGTTTACAACACCTGTCTGGAAACAGCAGAACTAAGTATTTTTAAACACCACCTGTCTGCCAGCATGAGATCCCCACCCCCCCGCCTCACTACTATCCCTCCCTTGGGCCAGAGTGATGCACACCCTATTTTAGATCAGGCTGGGGTTAGGACTCTGTTCTTCTCACGTAAAGCACAAATCCAATCTTAAATAAGTAAATGTAAGTTATGCAAATGGTACTCTTGAATCATCTGATGTTGAGAAATAATTTAGTGATTAATCTAGCATTTAACTAGATTGCCATGCCTGGTCTGTTCAGAGAAAATATATATACATGTTAAACACCACTGCCTCCAAGTGACTGAATTGAGCAATAGCATCTGTGAAAATATTTTTTATTGCACTGAGCAAGTGAATACATACAACCCAACCCATCTAGGCAGATAGGTCATGTTTAACAGTGTATTTATTGACGAGAGGAAAGCATCGGTTCAGGTTCAGTCAATGAGCAACTTTATTTTCTTGACA